TTCCCTCCCTCACCCACTCCCTCACTCACTTACCCCCTCCCTCACTCACTTACCCGCTCACTCACTCACTCACTCACTCACTCACTCTCTCTCTCTCTCTCTCTCTCTCTCTCTCTCTCTCCTTCTCTCTCTCTTTCTCTCTCGCTCACTCGCTCTCTCTCATCTGTCTATCTATCTATTTATCTTCATGTTTCTATCTATCTCTATCTCTTTCTCTCTGTCTCTGTCTCTGTCTCTGTCTCTCTGTCTCTCTCTCTCTCTGTGTCTCTCTATTTAAGATTCAGACCTCCTCTCTGTCTCTAAATTTGTGTGATTTTGTCTTCTATCTTAACCGCCTTCTCCAAGACTCCCCGCCCCCCCCCAACAAAAAATGTTACTCTAATCTTTTATCATTGTAATCCTACTATTCACTCTCTCCCTCCCTCCCTCCATGCCTTCCTTCCTTCCTTCCTCTCTTCTTCCTTTCTCCCTTCCCTCCCTCACCCACTCCCTCACTCACTTACCCCCTCCCTCACTCACTTACCCGCTCACTCACTCACTCACTCACTCACTCACTCTCTCTCTCACTCACTCACTCACTCCCTCACTCACTCTCACTACCTCATTCACTCACTCACTCTCTCCCTCCCTCACTCACTCACTCCACCTCTCCCTCCCTCTCTTATTCCCTCCCTCCCTCACTCACTCTCTCCCTCTCTCCCTCCCTCACTTACTCACTCACTCCCCCACTCATTCCCTCCCTGCTTCACTCACTCCCTCCCTCCCTCACTCACTCAGCGAAGCACCTGACCTCTACAGCACAGACGCCGGTTCAAGCAAAGCGAAAGAAAAGCCATTAAAAAACTCACCCCAAAACAACCCGGTTCTGTAACACCCTGGAAGGGATTCGAATCTGTATCATCAGCACAGTAGGGCAAAATATATAATGCTGAGCTGTTTCAACTTTGACATCTCGAGGGTGCGCTCGTATGCAAATTTTTAGCGTTTTCGTTGGCCAGATATTAACAAAATCAACAACAACAATAACAACACAATAACAGCAGCAGCAGCAGCAGCAACAGCAAAAACGACAACAACAACAACATAACAACAACAATAACAACAGCAAAAACAACAATAACAATAATAATAACAATAACAAGACAACAACAACAGCAGTAGCAACAACAACAACAACAACAACAACAAGGATTAGGTCAAGAGAAGAATGAACACAGGTGCAGATTTTGACAGTAAAAAATGTAGTCTTAAGCGATTCCGATGTGACAGCTTTAAGAATTTTGGTCTCTGAGAATGCGTCTGGGAACGAGACATGCTAGCTCTTACAAATAGCAGGATTACTAGCTGTTTTATCAAAGCAAGATTTAATTGAAAATGGCATACGTTAGCATTTTCATATATTTATTTTTTTTAAAGATAGGTTTCAAGCTATACATTTTTATCACAAATTTAAAATGTTCAGTAAAGAGTGAAGACTAACGTATGAAGACACAGTTACAGTACAGGGAAAAAGATGCTTTCGATGAAAGAAGAAAGTAAGATTAAAACAAAACAAAACAAAAATGCAGCGTCTAATCAGTTAGAAGACAGACCGGCGTCTAAGAGTTAATAGCAGCTAACTCAGAGAGAAACTTTGGCACAACAGTAACCATCAATTACCAGGCATTGTATAAAACTTAATGATGTTATAAAGTAAAAGTGTGTCATAGCAAATTCCGTAGGAAGATCAATGCAGGGACCCGAATATAGACAATGGCGTCGGAGGTTTAGTGGTAAGACTGTTGGGCTCGTAACCAAAAGGTCGTGGGTTTAACCCTGGCTGGTGCCCGACGTTGTGTCCTTGGTAAAGGCACTTTAGGCGACTTTTCCTCATTTCATCCACGTGGGAATGGGTACCCGTCTATAGTGTGTTTGAGCGCTTAGTCGGTTGCTTGCCTGCACTCCTGGGAAGCCAAGAATGCTTCTGGGTGTTCTAGGGTTCACTGGGGTAGTAACGTAGATTGTAAAGCGCAGAAAGCTTGCTGTTGAGCAGGGATATGAGCTCTGCGAATGCTATTTATTATTTTACAGACAGTGAAACAACGTTTTGACAAGGGTTTGGAGATGGTCAAATGATTCTTCTGACTCAAAAAATTAAAACTGTGTTGCTACCCGTTTGTACTTAAAAGTGTCAAATTCTAAACCTATTCCTACATCTTGAGACAACAACACTATTGACAGCAGCAACAGATGGGTCTGGCATTAAGCGATTAAGCGTTTCACCATCGAACGCAGGCGACCTGAGTTCGATTCCGAAGAGCGTTGAATTTCTTTTCGTGCCCATCAGTCTTTCTGCTGAAACGTTTCATTTCTCTCAGCCCTGATTGGCCCGGACAGGCATTGTGTTGACGGGGGCAGGAACGATCAACATTTAAACATATCCCACACTACAACACCCCTCCCCCCAAGCAACAACAAGGTTGAAATACTTACAGCGTCCGGAGTTGAGCACATTGCCTGAAGATTGACACTGGGTGAGATATAAGGTTAGCAAGCGGGTTGTGGGACAGTGTCCTGTGAACGAAGACGAAGAAATCCTTATTATACATAGACAGTGAACGAAGGCGAAGAAATCATTATATACGTAGATAGTGAACGAAGGCGAAGAAATCATTATTATACATAGTGAACAAAAGCAAGGAAATCATTATTATACATAGACAGTGAACGAAGGCGAAGAAATCATTATTATACATAGACAATGAACGAAGGCGAAGGAATCATTATTATACATAGTGCACGAAGGCGAGGAAATCATTATTAGACCATGAACAGAGGCAAAGGTATCATTAAGAGTATTGCCAGATGAGAAGCAACTGAAATCAAAATCTTACTAACCTGAATGACACCTGCTTGTACATGCATCCCTCTCCTCCGCCCCCCCCCCTCTTTCATACCCACTCCTGTCCACAGACACAAAGGAACCTATTTGTATGGGTCACTACATGCTAGAGCAGGGGTGCCAAACTCAATCGCTCAGGGGGCCAAACGCACATTTTCAATTGGTCGCTTTTAAGGGCAAGCGGGCTACCCCAGATTTCGGATGCTTCTAGATATCTTGACCTACACCAAAAGTGGGCATTGTCCTACCTTTAGAGACGTTTGGTTTCATTGATGTGTATATTTGTTTGGTCATAGAGAAAACTCTCCTTGTCTTTTAAACAAACTGAACAAGGGGCAAAAACGTTACCTTCGATCTTCTCAAAACAGCATTTTTCGGGATAGCCCCCTTGTGCTTAAAAGCGATCAACTAAAACTTGATACGACAAATTAGAGTGTTTCGTCCCAGGACACACTCCAAGAGACTAGCCACCTGAAAGCTGTGGCATTGGAAATGCTGCGGACCGATATGGATAAACACACATTGGGAAGTAGAAAACTATACCTTTTTAAAAGAATAATATGAATAAAAACAGGCAAATGCTCAAGTTCTAATAATGTTACAATAATGCATCAAGCCATAATCAATTTTTGGTCTTTTGTCA